ATAGCAAGTGATGGCCAGAACTTCATTTGAATATTCATTACATCAAGAACAGTTTGTAGGCCTTCTCTTGAAGGCGTGGCTGCGATGGGCAGGTTATTCTCCGGAATTTCACCCAGAAGCACCTTTATAGATTAAGACGGATCATAAGCCTCCGTAACTATATGCAGATTTAAAGGATATCAAGTTTGAAAAAGAGAATAACCTTGATCACTGCTGTTGCAGAAGAAGATATGGAGCGAAGATTGTAGCTGCATTTAGTGAAAACAAGAGACTATTCAAACGCTGCCCCATAAATATAACAGGCTATTCAAAAACGGCAAAACGCATACCCCCCCTCCAGAATAACTAGCATTTTCCCACCGCACAGATCACCCAACATCTGTGTCATTCGAGAATAGCCAGCCGGAGTCACCTGAAAGTAAAAAGAGTAGAACAGAACATTCTTTGGTGAAATCCACAAAACAATACACTGATTCCAGAAGTTGTAAATTTCGGCCCTCGAATATGATGCTTACATCACAGCATCCTAATGGGTCTCCTCTAGCAGCATCAAATCCCGCTGATATGATGACAAAATCTGGAGAAAATGCAGAAGCTGCAAGGGAAGGTTCCACTTAAAATTTGACTGAACGCACATTCAAAAGTGAGACTAATGTATTCGGTTCACTTCTTGAGCATATTAGTCATCATTTAAGCCAAAACGTTTATCAACACATCCAGATAGAGTTGAACAAACTCAAAAGAGGAAAAGTAGAACCCTCTGTACCTATGGGAAGAACCACATGTTGAAATGCAAAGATATAGTCTTTATCACCAACTCCACCGCAACTCCAAGGAACATTTACACAATAACCTTCCCCACCATTTGTACCAACCTGCACCTCATAATTAACATTAGCAAACTATTGCTCTGCTGCATAGAGAAAGTTCAAATAGATTTCGGAAACAGGACCAAAAGAAGAAAATAATCCCAAAATTCAAGACATAAAAATCATAATGCAAACCAAATACACAAATAAGGTATATGCATATATATACCAATAACTAAATCTACTAATGAATGCTGGATGAGACAATGTAAAACAGAAAAGCATGGGTACCTCATCAGCAGCTCCAGTACCGGGATAGAAGTGTCCTCCCTCATGTCTGTGCAAGGATATGTACAATACCTATGCAATGGTTCCCGATGATAAGTTCAAACAAGGTCAACTCACAAAATAATTTAATGCATCCAACACTGTAAAATTGATGCGCAGACACGCATAGCATTAGGCAGCTTACAGATTTGTTTTGTTCGAATATCTCTTGAGTTCCATTTCCATGATGTACATCCTGCAACGGTAGATAAACCATTGATATCAGCCAAACCACAATGCAGAGTATAACGAATTAAAGAAGTTTGAAGTTCTACAAAATCACTCAGTATAGAGTTATCAGTAACATTACCCAGTCCACAATCAGCACCTTCTTTGCCCCTGCTGCTTGTGCTACTAATGCAGCAACGGCTGCATTATTGTGAAGGCAAAACCCCATAGCATGCCTGATGCCAGCATGATGACCCGGAGGTCTAACCTGATACAATCAGATTATTTTTTTGAGACTAATGTGGTGTAATTTCAATTTAAGGCAATTGTGTAGTTTCATCTTTAAATTTAAAAATTATGGTGAATTAGACATACCAAAGCGAAACCATTTTTTACACGGCCAGTGAAAATTTCTGTTGCTAGATCAGCGCACAAACCTGCTGCAAGTCTAGCAGCACGTGCTGAATACTCATTAGCATACGTGTCAGAGGTGAAGTAGCTGCCAGACAATGGTAAAAGAACGGGTTTAAGAGCAAAAAGAGATAAATGAGGAGCAGCTAAGGTAAAGGAAATTTCGATTCAAGTTTGAACAGTCAGGTTAACAAGCAAGGATATGCACGGTGAACACAAAAAAAGTAACAGATGGTTTAAAATTCAAACCTATAGAGAAGCTGGCTTGTAGTATTAACAGCATCAACATGCTCTGAAGTGTGGACCTCAAAATTGACAAATACAAACCAATTATGGAATTTCTTGCAAAAGTACTGCAATGAACAAAGTATTAGAATTGTCTCTAAGACAGTTATGTAGCAGCTCACCATCTGGAGTTCTTGTTTCGTGATTTCCCTTGCATTAATAGGCAAGCATCTTCCAGGAAAAACACCTGCAAAAAATTTTAAATGTGGTGAGTACCAAACTTACTCCCAACAGTATGATATTGTTAAATGAAACATATGATACGAGATATGGGATCAAGTATCAGAGAAGTAAGACAAAGACGCTAGAAGCTTCTTAATTATCGAAGTTATGTTCTGATGTTTTCCTTTTAGAATTAGACTTTTAATATTTTCTTTTTTAGTTTTAACTTACGTCGGTTGTAAGAGATCTATATAATGATCTCCAAATCTTAATAATAATCAGCTTCCAAACATTAACGTTATTCTCAAGAGAGGCTAGGGTTAAGGAAAGTTTAAGCTGCAGCTATTCTTTGTGCAATTCAATCATTACGGAGATAACAAGAGCAAAAGCAAAAGCTTTGGCTCATAACAACATATTGATATTCTCATGACAGTAAATGCAACATACCAGCTGTGGCAAGACTAGCAGCTATAGCTCGAAGACGATCAGGTCTCTCTGGATGTGGATGTGGCTTCACTTCAAACTTTAAAAGCATGCCATCAGCACATATTAAAATAGAAACACTTGCACGAAGAAAAGCTTTGGAGATAATAACGTAGAGATGTCAACAGATACTAGAGGTTTCTCAGGAAAACATAACACATAATGGTAACAGGATCATACTTCTGAGTGTAGCAACATTCTCTCGTCGAACCCAACAGCTGTTGAGCTGGTTGCAGATGAGCTTCCTAAGATCAAGTTAAAAGAAAAGTGAATATGCTTACAGTTACTTAAAATCAAATAACATGGAACTGAGATTAGCAATATTTATAAAGACATTTTCAGAAAAAGCAAGGCAAGTAATTCCTACCTCCATATTTCTCTTCGACTTCAATGAGACCAGTGTCTTTAAAAAAGGGAGACGCTAAATATCCATGCCTCAGGATGCCAGATTCCTTGTGTTCACCGCATATCTACATCAAGAAATAAACTTTACAGATACATAACCAATGCACATTGCGCACAGACGTACGTATGTCACTTTGAGATCATAAAATGTAGTAGTCGATCAAGAAAACTTAAATAAAAAACGTACATAACAGTGGACCATATCACCAGGGTTCGACATAGTACAATTAACACAACACCAGTTTACAAACTCCACAGGCGCCTGCACAGGTTCCCAATCACAATCATCCTCCTCATCATCATCATCATTCAGTAATGCATCAGCACCGTAAATATCTTGAAACGTCATTTCTCTAGAAACCCTAGCTCTTTTCTGCATAAGACATAACAATGACCGATGTCACCAAGAGCAGAACCAACCAAAATCCGTGGCAATGCATTAGAAGGAAAGCCATGGTTATTAGCTTACTGCTGAAACTACAGGAGCTGCATTAATATCTCCATTGCTAAACTCATCGCCCGAACAAGGAACAGCGACATCACCACCATTCACATGTCTTCTCTTTGAACCCTCACAGGACCTCTCAAGAGTTTCTACAACCATTTTACCTCAGTAGTCACTGAAACTACTAACCAGCTGAAGCTGTGCCAAACTAGTAACAAAGAAAAAATCCAATTAGAGAAATTTTAAAAATCAAAAAGTTGCTCGAAAATTCCATATACGAAGAGCTAAATCAATATCGAAGAAAATGTAAATAACTTCACACACAGCTACAACAAATAACTTTACGAAGAACCTAACTTTTCTTGTGTGTTTCGAAATCGATCGCCGATCCAGAACTCAGGAATTGCTTTTTCTCTATGAAAAAAAAGCCGAATAAAATTTCAACGACGGTCTCGAAATATCATACCTGTAAGAATTTCCGGCGAAACGATGAACGGGGAAGGCTGCGTCCGTCGCGTTTAAAGGAGCGTGACCCTACGATAGCACAACAGAGCAGAAAAGAGAGAGATAACGACGGCGGCGACGACGACGTTCAGACTTGAAAGAGTAAAAGATTATTTGGGCTGAAGGTGAAGACCCAATAAGCCCATTAACAAATTTGAGTCAACTATTTATATTTATTTCCTTTTATTCATTTTTTTTTTTCCTTCTGAAACTTTTATTAAACTTGTTTAAATATCATTGTTTACAAACTGAGTAAGGAAATGTGGGCATGAATGATACAAAAGCCACGGATTTGAATTTGAAACAATGTTCCTTGCCAATAAATCCGCACACGAATTTTGCTCACGATGTGTAAAGAGGAAGGAGATCGCCGTAAATCGTTTACTCCAACTCCAGATTGTGTCCAGGAAGTGTTGTAATCTCGGATTAGCTTCTTTGTTGTTTATTATCCTCACCACATTTTGGTTGTCACCTTCAAATTCCACCACGCGATATCCCAATGCCCAAAGCAACGCCGTACACTCCGCCTCCTCTGTTGTTACTCTGCCTTCAAATTGACCCATACCGCAATCCAGGAAGGTACCACTATCATTCCGTATTATCCAGCCGAGTCCGGAGACATCGTAGTTACATTTGATCCATCCTCTCGGGGGTTTCCTCCACCTGTCGCTTCTTCCCCTTCGATTACAGTGGTTCCCTATTGATGGTGCTGCATTGATAGTGTTATCTAACCATTCTTTTGTATCTGCAGCCGCCTGGTTGATAACGTTGCATCGCGAGGCACCATGTTGGTCATCTTGAACCTTTGGTTGGAATTTTCCATTAATGTTATTGAAAGAAAGGAAACTATTACTTCACATAGCCAATTTAGGAAACTTGTCTTCTCGAAATGGATTACAAAAGTTACCATTTTTAAAGGGGATAAGACTTTAGTTGTTATCTTGTGTTATGGAATTTTTGTTTGGTAAGTAACCTAACCAATAACTCTATGTCTCTATCATATATATAGTGAAAAATGTTGGAATCATGAGGTAATCAGAAAAACAACACTGCAGATATATTGTGGAGAGACTAACGGTTAAACTAAACGATAATGACCAGCTAACATAATCAAAATAGGCCCAAGCGCATTAACACATGTTGAGACTGATATATTTTTCCCCTTACTTACAGTTTCCTTTTCCTTCCTTAACCTAATTGGCTAATTCTAACTGTAAGTGAATCCAACTTCTTTTTTATAGAAAACATTTTTGTGTGCATGTTAGTAATCTACAATTTCCATAGTACTAAAGCATCCTCTCTTTGTCTTTTTCTCTCTAAAACCTTATACATTAATATAAATTCTACAAATATGGGAGATAGTATTCCGTTATATATTTAGTTCACAAGAAGAATTTAGTGATATATTTCCCTTATATATAACGACAACGACAACAACAACACACTTACATAAAAAGAGAGATAAACACCGAAATGTCAAAGATGTAAGTATGTGAGCTCTCTCCTTTTTATACCTCTATCATCATCTATGTATATACATGATAACATTTATGTATAAAAATGTGTGTGTTGATGGTCACTTGTGAGAACAAAGAAGCATAGTAATACATTTCCCAATAATGTAGAACCTTCCTTTCTTCTTTTTCAGAAACTCTCCAACTCCTTTTGGTGAAGAAGGCTTGTTCTTCTTCTTGTCCCAATTCTTCACTGCCTCCTCCTTCGACTTCTCCTTCATTCTTTAATGTGTGTTTATAAAACAAGATTTTTTTTGTTTTTTCTTATTATGGGGGATTTAGGGTGTAAACTGATGATTGTGTGATGTTTAAAAGGAAGTGAAGGTTCATCATTATATATATTGGAGTGAGAGAGAAAGAGATAAGGAGAAAGTATTCCCTACCATTGATTTGGGACCCTTCAACGAAACAACCCAAAAACAAAGGCCACTGGTGAAGTGTGACCGACTAGCTTCCCATTATGGTTGAAAATATTTGATGTATTGTTTTCTTGTCTCCTTTCAGTTCAAAGATTCATCATCGGTAGAGATTGATTCATCAGTTCGATTATTGGAATATTATGTTAGAACATACGGTTTTGCATGAGGACCGTCCATATCTGATCTTAATTTCTTTGAATTTAAATTGAACATGCATACTAACTTTATGGTTAAGTACTGCTAAATATAATAAACACATAAAATGCAAATTCGAAGGGATTTGATCAGATTTCGGGTTTGTTTTGAAAACAAACGTCTGAAAACTTCTGCATGACTATAAAATTTCACTAAGTAAAATCATAAGCCTTTCCTTTAGAGAAATGCACGAGTCCAAAGTTATCGAATCACAATGTCGTTATTGTATATATTACAATTATAACTAATTAATCACAATCCACATTCAACCCCGCATGCACATTGTTCATTGTTGATAAAAAGTTATAAATTTAGTGTTCTTCCCTTAGTTTTACGATTAAGGATCTAAAACTTTTAACACATTCCTATTTTCAGAGATTATAGTTATCTACCTTTGAACATCATACGCCACATTCATACGACACTTACGAGTTACGACACATTCATACGGCGAGCAAAGTACGACTAAATCTTATTCTCAAAAGAAACCACCCACTCTACTGACTCCAGCCATTATGATATTTTGCATTTAAATCTCTGGTCAGCTAATAATTGAAATCCATCACGAATTAAGGTCTAGTCAGTCTTCCTTACAATATGGACAGCTCATTTCGAGTAAATCGTCAGAGACCTCAAAACATAATTAAGCTTTTGTTTTTTTGTTGAACCACATATATACTTCTCATCTAAAATATCGCATAGTTGACGCCAACAAAGAAAATGAATAGAAGACTAACGTAGTTTGTATTATTTACTCTTATATAGTTTACGTTCTTTCCACGAGTATTATTGGTTTTTAATGTTTTTTGGGTACTGTGCTTGGCTTTTTGCTAAAAGAAAATTCCGTACATTATACAGGATCTTTTTATGGAATCTCCGACGCACATATCTCTCTTTCAAATAAAAAAGTGTGATTTCAAGCGATTTTACCAATTCTCTTGTTTCTTACTATTTTGGCGGTGCAAGCTTTGCTTCTTCTTTTTTCCTCCTGTTACAAGCAACTTTTATTTCTGTTCTTTTTTTGGTTTTGACTAGAAGAGTGAGACTCAAACTATTTCTGACGAAACTGAATACAACTACCACCACTTAGTCTAGACAAATATATAATCATGTTTTTGTTTTGATTTTCTTTTCATTTTTATTTATGTGAAACATTTGGTGATTCCATCTTTTTCATTTTAAGATTTTAGTGATTCTACTTTGAAAACGTGTAATAATTGAATCCCACAACTCCGATTGAAACTAAACGAAATTAGAGCTTTGACAGAGATTTATCAATCTTTCAGATAAGACGACAAAATAAAATAATTTTGAGTTGCAAGATTTATAAAATTGTATAGCCTCACAAACTTCTAAGAATAGATATGGGACCAAACAAAAGTACCGTTTTCTGATTGTGTAATCTACGTATTACTACATATAAATTGTCGCAAAGTTTAGGAGAGAAAATGTTTACCAATAAAGATTATTGAGCACCAAATAGCTGATATACAGTTCAATAATATAATGTTTCAAACTTTTATGTTAAGAAATCTTACGTTTTTGAACCCAAAAAAAAAAAAAAAATCTTAAGTTTGAAGAAGGATAATTTACGTATTGTAAACCCAACAAAAAAAAAATCCGTTAGAGATCTATGGACATTCAGGATCTAAAATTTGTAAACTAAAAAGCAAATTCAACTATCTTAAGTAGGAAAAAAAAAGAGAAGAGTCAATTTAAGTGGTATATTTATGGTGTATCATTTTCCATAAAAAGTGGGAAATCACATGGGAGATTTATATATTTTCAAACGTAAGGAAGTGAAATGTCGAATCCATCACATCTTTTTAATCATAATTGAGAAAGTAATCAAACTTAATTAATTACGATCTTCACGAAATGGCAACGGGGAGGGGATGCACCATGCACGTGAAGTTCACGGAGACAAGACATCTCTTGCCTGTTGGCTGTTGCACTCATTACAACCTTTATTTCTTTGGCAAACACTCGATACAAACCTTAATTTTTTGGATCTCCACAAAATATTTATATATGTAGGGACGTATCCCTTCATTGGATATTTTTTTTGTTTTTTTCTTGCCAACTTACTGGCTTTAGTATAACAAAGACATGAACCTCGTATTTTCTATTTTTTACGTGTAACATGAGATCAAAGAAGAGTAATTGCACTATATAGCATATTTGACCAAATTAATTAGATAGATGGGATAAATTAACATAGCATTTTTAAATTCTAAGTAAATAGCATAACATTTGTCATGATATTACAACTCTTAGAGCATGATTATTGGTAGTATCTTAGAAATAAATCTTAGGAATATTTAAGTAATATATTTGTAAAAGTGATAGTTAAGATATAGTATTTTTGGGTTAAGATTTTTGTGTGATTAATGGTAGGTTCTTAACATGTGGTTCTTAGAAAAAAAAATATTAATACAAAAATAAAATTTATAATTATAGAAAATTTAATAATTGTTGCAAATTAAAAAAATTAAAACATACATGAGATACAATTTATAACATAAATAACATAAAGCACAAATATTTTAAACTTAATTTCTAGAATATTTTGTCCATATATGCTCGACCAAATCCTTCTTCAATTGTAGATGCATACCTCGATCACGAATTCGAGTTCTAGTGGCCATCGTATCGAAGAAATTTGAAGGCATATCTGTAGAATATGTGAAATCCACCCGTGAACTTCCTGCAGATTCCGCTTGTTCGAATTCGGTCGTATCAAACAGAGTATACCCATCTCGTTCGTCTTCTACTATCATATTGTGAAGTATTATACATGCTCGCATAATATTTCCTATTTTTACCTTATCCCAAAGAAGAGCCGGATTTTTGACAATAGCAAATCGAGCTTGCAAAACTCCAAAAGCACGCTCGACATCTTTACGGCAAGCTTCTTGATGGGTTGCAAATAAAGATGCTTTTTCAGTTTGTGGAAGTGAAATAGATTGGATAAAAGTAGCCCATTTAGGATAAATGCCATCCGTGAGATAGTAACCCAAATTATACTCGTTCCCGTTGACTGTATAATTCACTGCTGGTGCTCGCCCTTTTAAGATGTCATCAAAAACCGGAGAACGATCTAGAATATTAATATCGTTTAAAGTACCTGGCGGTCCAAAAAACGCATGCCATATCCAAAGATCTTGGGAAGCTACAGCCTCTAAAACGATCGTTGGTTTTCCAGAGGCACGTGTATATTGTCCTTTCCAAGAGGTAGGGCAATTCTTCCACTCCCAATGCATACAATCAATGCTTCCCATCATCCCGGGAAATCCTCGAATCTCTCCAATATGGAGTAGTCGTTGAAGATCTTCTGCAGTGGGTTGTCGTAGGTACTCATCTCCAAAGCAATCAATAATTCCGTCAACAAAATGTTCCATGCACTTCATCGAAGTGGTTGCACCAATCCGGAGATATTCGTCAACCGCATCAGCTGCTAAACCATATGCAAGCATACGAATTGCTGCTGTACACTTCTGTAGTGTAGAAAAACCGTATCTTCCTGTAGCATCTCTTTTTTGTTGAAAGAATGGAATTGTGGAGAGTCGATCAACAACACGCATGAATAATGGCTTGTTCATTCTAAAACGGCGTCTGAATAGATTAGGAGGGAAAGTTGGATTTTCTGCGAAATAATCGTTCCATAACTGGATGTGTCCTTCTTCTCGATTTCTTTCAATATGGACTCGTTTTTTCCTCGGTTTTGCGGTTTGTGGACGATCACCGTAAGAATACAAAGAATTATCTATTTCTTGCTGTAAAATATTACTAAATTCTTCGTCCAACGCTTCTTCTAAATTTTCATGGGAAGATGATGCCATTTACAATGTAGAATTGTTTTGGATTTTTTTGAGTAAAAATAGAAGCCTTGGCGTAGAAAAGAAATTGGAGATTTTAGTTGTAGAAAAGAAAAAGAAGCCTTGGAGATTTTTGTTGCAAGTAACTGTTTTTAGAGTAGAAAAGAAATAGAAGCAAAGTAAGAAGTAAAGAGTCTGGACAATTGATATTACAAAGTGATATTACATGGTCATATTTATAGTGGACTACACAAAACATATACATGGTTAAGAAGCAAAGTGAAACATGTGGCTACAATGAATACTTGTGTCCGTGAACAAACAGAGAGGACTTGTGGTAAAAAGAAAACTCATTCAAACATGTGGTTAGAATCAAGACTTGCAGTGTCCGTGTACTTGCTGGAATCTTGTCCTCTTTAACATGTCCCCTTCTTGTCAACTTGTCTTTTTGCTTCACGTGTTGCTAGTGAAGCAACTTGTCTATCCTGCACAAAAACACAAACGTGTTACCATCACAATATCACAACTCCACTTGTTTGTCATGCACTTCAACTATTTCAAGCAAAACTGATTCATACAAACACTGATTCATTGATTCAAACAAGTTCATACAAGCAAAAGACTTAACTTATGACAGAAAACACAAATTGAAATACAACAAAAAGACAAACTTATGATACATGAAACAAAAGAAAGCCGAACTTATGATACATGAAACAAAATAAATCCTTCAAGCATTTGACAACATGTCATTTATGAGCTTGTCTTTTAAGGCAATTTCTGTGTCACTAAGCTCTGTTTTTGCAAGTAGACTATCAAGCATACTATGCTTGCTCTGTTTCTCTTTTAACTCAAAGTTCTTTTTTGAGATCTCCCATATGCCCTGCAACCTAGAGAGACCATTGCCTTCTTCTCCCACAGTCTTTTTTGCGTTGGCCTTTGCAGCCTTAACACCAATAGGACGATGCATTGCTTCCTCTACTCCATGGGACAGTGGCTGACAGCTTGAAGGCTCAACAGACTCCTTAGTCTTTCTTCTTTTAGACTGTCCAGTCGGTTTAGTAGTAGGAGCTGAACACCATTTTTGATCATGGCGAAGCTCTCTCCAAGCATGCTCAAGATTGAATTTTGCATCATAGTCGTTGGTGAAGATTTGGTGAGCCAGTTTCATCACATCATCATCATTCTGGCCACTTGATTGCTGTTTTAACGCAGCCTCATAACTCCCTACAAACTTGCATACACCATCATTGATCTTAGCCCACCTCTGCTTTATGTGATCTGGCTCTCTCCTTTCCACACCTTTCAGATTTGGACTTGCACCATAATAGTTAGCAATGCGTGACCAAAAAGCATTACCCTTTTGTTCATTGCCTATTACTGGATCCTTACTTGTGTTGAGCTAAGCACTGATGAGCACCACGTCTTCTGTGGGAGACCATTTCCTTCTCCCTCTTTTCACCTTGGGTTTGTGTGCAGCTTGGCTTGGAGAGTCAGCTTGGCTTGGAAAGACAGGGACATCATCATACGGATTGGCTTCTAGATTGTGAACCTCTTGTTGACTAGTTAAGAGGTTCACAAAGCCTGATCCATGACTATATGGATATGAATCCATAGCCTAGTTCTCTGGTTGGTGTTGAAAGGAAGCAGGATAAAAAAAGAAGAAGTGTTTTTGGTGTGTGTAAATCAGTATTAAGTTAGAGAAGAAGAGGTTCATATATAACAAGAGAAACGCTTGGTTTGTGTTAAGTGTGACACTAAATTCTTTACCTAATCAAATAAAACACAGAGGCTATAGGCATTGATAACAAAGATTTGTTGTTGAGTAGGCAGGGCATTATTAAAAAAGAGTAGGGGTGTGTGTTTAAGTGTACGTGATAGAACATAATGAGAGATAGAGTGTTTAGGTTTTTATTAAAAGGGAAGAAATCAATTAGACAAGAAGTTTGACAGATAAGAAATGAATTAGACAATAAGTGCTAGGTGTTTTAAGTGTGACATAACAAGCAATCAATACCAACTACCAAGCATTGAGTAAACACAATGTCACTAAGCAGAGCCACCAAGCATCAAATTCAATAGAACCAGTCAATGTCACTATCTCTTTTCAACTCAGCTTTTGCAAGTTCTCCAATTAACCTCGCCAAAAGATAAACAAATCAAAATCAAGCCAAACATAGTTCTCCAATCGACCAATCTCATCAATCACAACTTATCCATATGACCATATGTATTCACCTAATCTAAATCATGAAACATACCAAATTCAACCAAACAACTAATCAAAAACGGATCAAAATCAAGGTTAAAATGAATCAATCTACCATTGTTAATGGAGACACATCAAACAGAGAAACATTAAATGGGTCAAACCAATAGAGAACACATCAAAAAACAGAGAAAACTCTCCATTTCTAAGGGAAACATAGAACACATCAAACGACATCATAAACCTCTAATTTTGCAAACATCAATTCCCATTTCTAAGAACCCTAATTTTGCTAACATCAAATCCCCAATTTCAGAAAATCCTAATTTCGACACCACATCAAATAACCCGAATATTACATGAAAAACAATCGAAAGCAGAGATATGCGTACCATGGAAAACAGATTGGAGCATCCAATAACCAAATTCTTCAATTTGGTGAACTCTCCGATATTTTGATCCCGATTTGGTGAACCAGAAATCGTCGATAGTCTCCATCTTCGGTTGAATGATGATGACGGCAGACGAATGACTAATTTCCGACTCATATCTCTTCTCAATTCATCGGATCGAGCCGGATTGAAGAGCTCTCGCAGTGCGTTTTTGGATGTTGAGAAAGAGAGAGAGAAACACGATGAACTGAGAAAAAAAGTAAAACGCGTTAAATTTTATTTTTGGTTTTGTCTTTTTTCTCGCCCACTTATATTAAGACACATGTACACATCTTAACACACAAAAAACATCTAAGCTAAGATTTACTTCTTAGCCTTTTAATCATTTTTGATTTAATTTTAAATGCTAAAACCTAAGATAATTAACTAAGATATGGGCTAAGATGCTCCGTTAATCATGCTCTTACTCTTATGACTTTTTGTAATGTTTGGAAGTAAATAGCAGCGGAGAGGAATGCTTATGAAAACGGAGGAATGGAGACTTCCTTCCTAGATAGTTGTAGGAGCAGCGCAAAGATTAAATGTGACCTCTTTATGGGTGAGGTCGGTGCCATGGGGTACATGTTAGAGACACCCGTCTGAAAGACCCGAGAGGAAGTCCAAGTCGCAGGTGACGAATAGGTCCATGATGGGTAAGACCAAGGCTGATCTTACATATATGGTAAAATAATATAACAACTTCTTTTTTTTTTCACAAATAATATAACAACTTCTTTTTTCTTTATGTTTTTGGCTTTCAAAATATCGTATTTTCTGATACATGCTAGCTAGAGTTTTCTTTTTTTTTTCTTTTTAAAAATTCTATTTGGCAAATTAACCTTGATAAAAGTAACACTAAAAATTCATTTTAGGATAAATATTTCATACTAGACTGGATAGACAAATCCATAAGATATAGGGACAACACTTGTATACTGAGAATTCGACTCTTTTTTTCATAATTGCCGAATCTAAGGCAGCTCTCCCGAACAAATATGGTTGCCCACCATATATATATTCTATTAATAGGTTAATAAGTTTTCTATTTTTGTTCACTAGGACTAGACATGTCAATTAGGGCCAAAGCCCGCGGGCTAGCCCGGCCCAGCCCTGAAAAACAGCGGGCTCGGGCTAGCCCGAAAAGCCCTTTAAAAAATATTTTGATCTTTTTTTTGTTAATATTTTCGTTTAATTGTAAGATTTGTTGTAAGAAAAAATTTTGATAGAGTTGAAAACCCTAAACATAGTTTTTTTGTTATGTATTACTATAAATCGAAAAAGCAAATATTAGCTCTACTACCTAATTTGAATTATTTTGATTTTATATTTTATCTAGTATAAGTTTAAACAATTTATTTGGATTATTTATTTGATTTTAACTCTCTTTTTAAAAAACTAAATTAGCGTTAGTGGTTATTTAAATTTTGATTGACTCGTTTCATATATAGATTTTTTTTTAAGAGATATTATAAATTATAAGTTTGTTTTTTTGTTGTCGGAAGAAAAGCCCAAAAAAGCCCGGAAAAGTCCTGTAGCCCTGTTAGGGCCGGGCCGGGCTTTAAAATATAGGCTCGGAATTTTTACGGGCCGGGCCGGGCCGGGCTCAAATATGTACGGATTTTGCGGGCTTCGGGCCGGGCCGGACCGGGCTAGCCCGATTGACATTACTTTTTATTTTTATTTTTATTCAAAAACTATGGGTCGGAAGTTGTGGAACCTTTTTACCTCTTCACTGGTTCATCATCCCTACCAGGTTTGCATCTAATTATTAAACTAAATATTCATTCTAAGAAATGAAATTTTATATATTAATGATTCAATTCTTGAGAGAATAATCGATTTTGCCATGATAACGTAACCAAACTGGAACAGTATATGTAATACTTACTAGTATTGTTCTGCAATTGTTGTTTGCTTCCAAACAAATAACAACTCTCCTGTCTTTTTCATGTTAATATTTAATGTTCTGTTTTGGACATGTCTTCATTGTGTGGAATTTACCATAAAATTCAGGAATTGGGTTGACCCTACTAAATGAAGACTCTTTCATTGAGCACAAAGTACACCATCTAGAGATTTTTTTTTTTTTTGGCGTGTCTTTAAGTTGTAGTGGTGAAAAAAAAAAGGAACCATTCCGACCAAACACTTGAAGGTTCAGAAGTTTTGAACTGGATCGGTTCCATATGCTTTGCCTAATTATTATTTTTCTATCTAACCTCTCTAAAATTGTTAGCTTAGTAGAACCATTCTAACCATTCCAAAATCAAAAATTTGCAGATAACAATACATCAATCCTCATGATAGACAGACTTGTTAGAGGATAATTTTATAACATATAACAGACAAACAAAAAAAACATAATTGATTAAGTATTTGGATGGAACAACAATTTTGATGTGTAATAAGAATTTTAGTTGTTTCTTTAAGAAACCTTTCAATAGATGAAAATACATATCATTATCAATATGGCAGCTTCTCTGGTCCACCATCATGGTATATAGTTTTTAAACCAAAGACAAATGAAACCTTTTCATAATGCCAGACCAAACCAAACCGAAAAACACAAAGAGTAAAAACAACATAAAACATATGTTGGGCATTTCATCGAACACTTTGAAGGCATGCTACCAAGAGAAAGCTAAACGGATTCTTCATTGATCTGACTAAGATTCTCTTCTTCTTGTCTCTTCAGCATATCCTTCTCGTATTGATTCTCGTATTGATTCAACGCTTCCTCCATCCTCATCTGCGTAAAACCCAACAGTCTAAGGTCGAGCACAAGCTTTCTGAAGAAGAAGAAGAAGAAGAAGAAGAAGAAGAAGAAGAAGAAACAGACCTTGTAGCTAACTTCGATGCGATGCATTACGTAGAATCCGAGAGTCCCGCCGAGAAGTGTTCCAGCTATGATCCGTGCGTAACCCCATGTCATTGAGCTCAACGCCATTTCCTCACTCTCTTCTCTCCTCTTCCTTCGATTCCAAATTTACAGCTCTCTAAAAGAATATCCTTTAGCGATCTCGTTTTCAGTTTACCGGAACCAAATTAGAACCGTACCAATTGGTTCAATTCTTTCTTTTTTTGGTACATTATAAACCAAGCTTATGTCCGCTTCGGTTTAGATCTAGAATCAAAATAAACTGGTTCTCTCACTTCCAATTACGCTCGAAGAAGTCGGTTTAATATCCTAGAGCAGCACACAAGGACAAGATTCTGATTGCTTCATTTATTTATCGAGAAGTCGGTTTGATATCGTACCATGATTAAGATAATTTCGGTACGCTTATACATTATACATGTACAATAAACAAACATTTGTAACCGTAAGCAAAATTAAGCTGACACTACTAGATATATGCCTTTAACCGTTCGGTTCAAAGAAAAATTCAGAAACAAGTGCCAAGTGATCGCTTCCCAATTCCTACAAACCAAAGACGAAGAAAGCTTAAAGCATTATTAAGCATACAAGTGTACTCACCAAATTTAAACTGTTTGATGATACATACTTGACAAGGAAGGCCTTTGGTTTTGCAGAGAACATCAATAGGAAGTGTATCAAGAACTCCTGCAGGTACAAGACCATCAGAGTACCTAAACCAGACCACACATTTTTTTTTCCAATTAGTTAGTTCATTAGCCAACTGTTAAATTTATCATTTTGAGTTTTGGTTGTGTTTAGAATGTTTTACCAAAGATAATCAACCGTTCCGAGAAATTTCAAGTGATACGAGGTTGCTAGAGGTTCACCAACAGAGTCCCTGGTATTTGGTGAGCCCTGTTGTGTACCATGATCATGAGTATATTTAAGCTCTTGTCATATAGACAGAGACATTAAAGCTTTGTTTGTTACCCTAACTGAGGCGTATGAGCTATTGAGTTTCAAGGGATGCACAGCCCAGTACGAGTTCTCTTGCCCAGTCGCAACTCGGATCTCTTCATTGGTCCAAGAGCTACAAAAACGTCAACCAGAGGTGAACACAATGGCTATTTCACCAGGCAGTCACCAGACAACCATTCACAGTAGAACTGATCAAATCTTCAAAAAACAATCTTACCTGAAAGTTATTGTACTACTAGATTTGCTTCCAGTCTCAAGAACTTTGGCTGGATGACAATTTTTCTGGCCAGAGAGCTCTCTTTTGTCATGTTCCATGACATTCAGCTGTAAGATAAAAGCATAATTCGATTTAAAGAAACTACAAGCGGACAAATGTGTAGTTTGACTGAAGCAAGACAATGAATAGTCATACCTCAGAGGACGCCAAGAAGTTGTACAATGGACTCTACACGTAAGAAGATAAAATCAAATAATGAATAAACAGATACACAAAACCAAAGTGGAGGAGTTTATTTAAAAAGATATGTACCTGGGGAGTGCTATTGAAATCCCCGCATAGAACAATGGGAATGTCTCCCCATTTCTTAGAGAGCAAGTGAGCCTTTGAGCAGAGTGAACGGATCTATCAGTCAAGAAAAAGGCAAATCAGGAACTCCAGAAAAAACATGAAGCTATGAATTCAATACGTTTTCATGCGCATTTGGACAAATACTAGTGACCATATCATGACATATACTAGTAACTTAGACATGTCTTAGACATTTGAACAATGCTTCAACATCTCTTGACTGAGATTCAGTACATTTTCACTCCAAACCCCATGAAAAGAAACAAGAAAAATATGAATCAGCTAAATAGAACTGATGTAGTCTTCAAGCATAGGGGCTGATAAAATGAATCAACATTTTGTAAACTTTCATGACTGTCAATTGCTGGTGTAGTGGATATACCAATTGAAATGACGAGACTTACCTGACCCAGCTTCACATCTCCTTTATTTGGATTATAAAGCACGTGAATGTTACCCAGCAGTATCTTTCTTGACTTATTAGACTTCCGCAGCTGACAGAAAACCCAAAACAAAACTAGATCAATCAAGGAAATCATCTAAGCATATTCAAAAAAAAAAAAAGTTTGTAAAACATTCATAATAACTGCTTACCTCAAGAACAGCAAGCTGTGCAACATTATCGCGCATACCAAACTGGCTAAACTCAATGTTTTCCCTCTCCAAAACTCGAAACCTTTTCAAAACAAGATATTATCTTAAACAATGCTGAATTGATTTTGTTGTTTTTCCTCACACTAATACAAATTAAGTCAAGCCTAATATGTGCTACCTGTCGGCCTTCCAAAACATTGCGCACCCATCAATGTTATCTCCAGTTCGCCGCTGCCATTGCAAAGCTTATATTTGTAGTCCTTCTATAGAAACACAACTTTTGTTGAGGCTTGAGACGAAAAGGTAGATAAAACCAACCGACAACGATGTTTTACATGTCATACCATTCAATTTATAAGCATACAATTTTTTCATAGAACAAGGAAATACAGCAACCTTATAGGAGCCAGCATATCCAGCTTTCTCCGTCGTGCTGAACAGATCAAAATACTTGTCTACTTCCTACAAGGATCCGCAAACAAAATCAACATAACTCTCCTAACACTCAACCCTAGAATCGAGAAAAAACAAGGAAAAGTTCATTACCTGCATACAGATTATATCTGGATTGAGACGAATGAGTTCTTCGCATATCAACCGTTTGCGGTAGCCCCACTTGAGGTAAGGAAAAGACACATTGGAGTACAAATCTCTATGATATGATGAATTTCTATCTCCCAGTATGTTGTATGACACTACAGTGAATCTCTCTGAAGCTAATATTACATAGAGATACACTAGTAAGAACCCAACACATCCACAATTTCACATGCTTCATCAACAAATAGAAACTCAAGCCTAACTAATATCTCAAACGACATTAAGTCTAATTTACAGAACCCTAACTAGTTCACAAGTTCATGAGTAAGAGCATAATTTCCATAAGATCATTATCATATATACCTTGGGAAACTGGAGTTGTATCTGAATCGATCCAATCACGAACAATCCGAGATGACGGCATTTGATCGGGATGTCGACGCCGGGGAAGGGGATTGTGCCATCTACGGCTGTAAGAGCGATTCGAAGATGGTTCGGGGTTTGAATCGGACACACACGAAAGAGGAACGGAAAGATAGAGACGATGAAGGACATTGATGGAATCCAGACGAAGCGAAGGGGATGATACGGTAAGCTTCGCTTGGCCGTGACCAAGAACAACTGACGCGATTCACGCAACGCATTCGATTTTGTGGAGGTTTTGAGACGAATTCAGAAATTTGGAAGAAATCGAAAACCGCACAAACCGCTTGGCGCCATACGGATAAATATCCTTTTTTCTTTTTTCTTTGATCAGATAAAAAAAATACATACTCACCCATGGGCCATGGGCCATGGGACATGGGCCAATACTAGTATACTACACCAGGCCTTGTTTAGCTGAGATCCTGTTTCTGTTATTTGGATTTGTTGTTTTAATGTCTATTGTTTTTTCGAGTTTGATTTCAATTTCTGTGATTTTGTTTCTAATTTGGTAGGATGTCAGTTTTGTTTGTAGTCTAACTTTATCATGCTAAGAACTTGGAGATGATATTTGATTTTGAATTATGATCTCTTTTTTTTTTCATCGTCCTTGTTGTTTTTTTTGTTTTTCAAATACGATGATATTATTTCAACATTTAGTGGAGTATCATTTATTTTGATTTCATAGTAGCTCAGTACGTCAATTTTCTGAGACAGTATCAAGGTCATTTTTCTCAATATATGATTTTATATATTCTTATCGCAGACTAGATGTCATGATTTTGTTTAATCATGATCATTTAGTTTTTTTTTTGTGCCTTACCATTTAATTCTTTTAGTTTGTAAGTTTTCGACGCATATGACTGCAGAGTCATGTTTACGTTTGTAGAAGTTTTACACAATTTTTTAAATAAAATTAACGGTCGACAAATTCGTTTTAATATCTTATTTAGTTTTGTTCTAAATGTGTACTTTAGTCTTAATTTAGTTTATGAATTTAAAATCGGCAAAAAAAAATTATCTTTAAATTTTGAAATCTTATATCGCTTTCTTGAGATTTTTAATGTATTTTTTTTTTGTTGATAAGTAAAAGAGTAGCAACTCAGAACAAAAATCATCTTTGTTTGCAATTCTTTCTTTCTACCTCACTGCAACAAATATTTTATGTCTATTTGGATGTCTTTAGTGGGCTGAGATTGCGCTAAGAATTATCACCAGAGTTGAACCACACAACCAGGTAGATTTGTGATATCGCTTTTACCAATAAAGGTTTAACGATAAGAATTTCTATGAATGGTATGTTTTACACTTAGGATGAATCATGATTTGGAATAAATTAGGCTTTGACATCCTTCCAAAAAAATCAACTATAAAATAAATGAATTGTGTAATTGTATAATAAACAATTTTACTTCCATATCTTTGGTTATTTTAAATAGAATATCGTATTTACAATTCATATTTGCAAATTGATATGCCCATAATAACTAGAGTGAAAAATGTTAAAACGATCATGTAAACATATTTTATATTTTTTTTGTGTTATTAAGTCATATGAGACTAACTGTTGAATTAACCAATAAAAACCTACTAAAAATATTACAAAAAATAGGCCCAAGCACAAGTGTGACTGATATTTTTCACTTACTTTGCCATTTTCATTTGATTTTCTTCAAAAATGTTTTTTATGTTTATAATATTGACATCCATACTATTTTTTCCTAGCATGCCTAGTATAGTGGTACAATCACACAAACTGTACCAATAATAATGGCTGTTCGTTTCTACCTTTTTTTTTTTTTTTTTTTTTTTTTTGCAATATTCCCTTTGACAAAGAAAAACTCTATGATTGCGTCTGCATTATAATGTTCTTTAAACTTTACTATAAAATATTACTAACGAATCTTGAAATACAAATGAGTGAAGCATATTTTTTTTTGGTGAGTAATTAGTGAAGCATATTGATAAAACATAAAAGTGTATGCGATTTAAAACATTACTGATTGAATATGCATAATCTTAATTTAGGGAAAAAAGTGAAGTAGGTATAAAAAAATGGATATAACAAGATTAAAAACAAAAGAGAAATAAATGTTACGCAACAACCAAAGCCAAAAGGGTGCGTTACCATTAATTCAGGGAAAGCGAAATAAACCCAAATCTCTCTTCTAACGAAGTAACAACTCACCCACTTCTCCTATTTATTCACTCCTTTCCACTTTTTACCTATAGCCTTCGTTCATCAATCACCTTAAACAAATTGCATTCACAAAAAAAGGTACAGTACTTAACAAATTTATTTATCTGTTTTTTTTTTCAATTATGGCATCTTAGCGAATATGCACCACAAATTAGCATTAGCAAATATACAACACAAACTAACTTAAGAAATATCCAACACAAAATGACATTAACAAATATCCAACACAAAATGACATTATCTTAGATGATTAAGATAATTCGACCCCTATAACTACTAGTTTCCAAAACTTTGCCTGACTTTTCTCTCGATAGCGATGGTTAAGAGATAGATACAAAGTTTTGAAGCCCGAAAATAACAAAAGGACACAAAGCTTTTAATTTTCTAGGGATAAGAATTAGCTTTGGTCACGTAAAAAAATTAAAAGTGATTAGTTTAACATATAGGAGTATTTTGAATTCCAAGGTCCTTGCAATAAATAAACACACGTACTCTGTAGTCACACATCTCTAGGAGCTTAATATTGGATAATCGCTTGTAGTAAGATATTTAGCAGGTCAAATCCCTATTAACCACTATCTTCTACTCACGTCCGTACAGTAGTATAGTTTTGTGTTGAATTCTATAAAGTACAAATTCTTCTTTCGGTGCCAATAAAAATAAACACAATCTCAAATTACATTTGTATTTTATTCGGTATAAATGTTATGCTATGTTGGGAATCATATGATAAAACTAGATTAAGATTTCTGATTTTATAAACTTTATATTTGTAAAGTTTTTATACCGATCGATGATAATGTGAATCCAAATATTTAACAAGATGATAAATAATTGATTGATGTGGCTTTTATAACCACAGCAATTCTGGCGTGACTCTCTCCGCGACATTTATTTTTCTCTCTATAAATTAAAAACATTACTTACTCTTTTTCTCTTCCACTTAACTCATATCAACCTTCGCCGGAAATAATGGCTTTCCCGCGATTTCTTTCTCTCCTCACCACCGTCACTCTCTCTCTTTTCCTCACCGCGACCGATGCTTCCTCTCGCTCTCTGTCCACTTCAACTAAAACGACTGTACTCGACGTCGTTTCATCTCTCCAGCAAACACAAACTATCCTCTCACTCGACCCGACTCGTTCCTCACTCACCGCCACCAAACCCGAATCCATATCCGACCCGGTTTTCTTCAATTCATCTTCACCACTATCTCTAGAGCTTCACTCTCGAGACACTCTCGTCGCGTCACAGCACAAAGACTACAAAAGCTTAGTACTGAGTCGACTCGAGCGTGACTCATCCCGAGTCGCCGGAATCGCCGCAAAGATCCGTTTCGCCGTGGAAGGAATCGATAGATCCGATCTCAAACCCGTTAACAACGAAGATACTCGATATCAACCCGAGGCTCTAACGACACCTGTCGTCTCCGGAGTCTCCCAAGGAAGCGGCGAGTATTTCTCAAGAATCGGAGTCGGAACTCCGGCGAAAGAGATGTACTTGGTTCTCGACACCGGAAGCGACGTGAATTGGATCCAGTGTGAACCTTGCTCCGACTGTTACCAACAATCCGACCCGGTTTTTAACCCGACTTCATCTTCCACATACAAATCACTCACTTGTTCTGCTCCACAGTGCTCTCTTCTCGAAACCTCCGCTTGTCGTTCAAACAAATGTCTCTACCAAGTTAGTTACGGCGACGGATCTTTCACCGTCGGTGAACTTGCTACCGATACGGTGACGTTTGGTAACTCCGGTAAGATAAACGACGTCGCTTTGGGTTGTGGCCACGATAACGAAGGTCTCTTTACCGGAGCAGCCGGTTTACTCGGTTTAGGAGGTGGAGCTTTATCGATAACCAATCAAATGAAAGCGACGTCGTTTTCGTACTGCCTCGTCGACCGTGATTCGGGAAAATCGTCGAGTCTTGATTTCAACTCGGTCCAACTCGGTAGCGGAGACGCGACGGCGCCGCTTCTCCGTAACCAAAAGATCGACACTTTCTACTACGTCGGACTTAGTGGATTCAGCGTCGGTGGTCAAAAAGTCATGATGCCTGATGCTATCTTCGACGTCGACGCTTCGGGAAGTGGAGGAGTGATCTTGGATTGTGGAACCGCCGTGACTCGTCTTCAGACTCAGGCTTATAACTCGCTACGTGACGCGTTTCTTAAACTCACCACGAATCTCAAAAAAGGAACTTCGAGCATCTCTCTGTTCGACACGTGTTACGATTTCTCGTCTCTCTCCTCCGTGAAAGTACCGACGGTTGCGTTTCATTTCACCGGAGGAAAGTCGCTTGATTTGCCGGCGAAGAATTATCTGATCCCAGTAGATGATAACGGAACGTTCTGCTTCGCATTTGCTCCGACGTCGTCGTCGTTGTCGATCATCGGAAATGTGCAGCAGCAAGGGACACGTATCACTTACGATCTAGCGAATAAGATTATCGGATTGTCAGGGAATAAGTGCTAAAGAAGAAAAGTAGACAAATTAATAGTTTTACAGATATATCAGTAAAACTTTTTATGGAACTACGGTAACAAGAAGAAAAAACAAAAACCTTCAAGTGTGAATTTTTCTTTTATCTTCTTTAATTGATCATAAGTTATTTTCGTCTTTTTATCGAATAATAATAGGATTGATTAATTATTATATAAATTTGAAAATGTTGTTGTCTCAGCAAGAAGTTTTCAGTGTTTAGTAGTTTGTGAGAAGAAGAAGAGTCAATAAAGTATGAAGTTACAACAAAGAAGGGCCTTTTTGTAACTAAAGAAAAGTCTTCAAAGAAACAGACTTGTATCTGTTGTTGTGGCCCCTATGTTGTTCTTCAATATTTTGAATTGTAGTCTGCATTACCAGCTGTCTGGAAATCAATGTGAAAGTTAAGTTGGGGTAGTAAAAAAAGAAAAGCCAGGATAGAAAATTTGCCTTTCTCACACTCACCTTTGAAAAATACTAAATATTTGGTTGTGTCAGCGACTTGAATTATCATTTTAATCACTGGATTTGCCGATTACAATAGTCCGACATAGTATAAAAAAATATATTTCCTCCGTTTCAAAAAAATATCGTTTTAAGATTTTATTTTTGTTTCACAAAAAATGTAAGAATC